GCCAAAACCTGACATTATAAGTTGGGGAGCTGTTATTGTGAGTAACAAGCCCAGTCCTAAAACCCACTCTCTCCAGTCTTTCCAGTTTGACATCAACTGAGAGCTTATAAGCTCCAGCATGTGGAAATCAGACTTCTTCTCCAGTCTGTACAGAGCCAGAGAGCTTTTTTTAGAATTTAAGCGTTCTGCTCTGTGATGAAATGCAATAAACTGTTAATGTCAGTAATCACCTGAGGATAAGAAGAAGAAAAAAACATTACAGTTTGTGCACAGACACACCTTGTCTAACACATTTCCAAAACAGACAGCTGGAAGGTATTTTCAGCCTTTTCAAAACACAGAGTGTTTCTTTTTTTATTCATGACTTTAATGAAATAAATTAATTTGTATTTTTCTTTATAAACAGTATGTGCAAGTGCCCAGTATATAATATCCATGCACACACTTGAAGTTAGGTGATTTACAGTGCATTCAGACGGTATTGAAACGTATTGATGTGCTTTTTGGGAGGCACCTGAGTCACATTTTAAGTGTCACAGCAAAGGATCTAAATACTTAAATTTTTAATACATTTGTAAAAATCTGGTTTTCACTTAGTCATTGTGGGGTAGAGTGCAGAGTCATGACGGAAAATTTACCAAAACGACTTTGGCATAAGGCTGCAGCATAACAAAATGTGAAATAAACCTTTGTGAATAGATTCTGAATGTACTGAATAACGTCTTCTACCCATGCAACAAAAATAATAAAGATACAGTTATCCTGCTGTAAATGTAATGGGAATATAGACAGATTAAGATATTTATACCTGTTCAATGATGTATTTGGTACTTTAGCAATCATTAAAGTGTATATGCATAAAGAGAGAGATTTAAAAAAATGTTTAAAGTACTTTTTCTACCTCAGGATTTGAGCACAGTGTGCTTTCCCAAGTTTTTATAGGTTTAACAAACATGCTTATTCTGGTTGACTCATACATAATAGTGGCTGTTGCCATGGTTTTGTTGCTTCATTAAGCAACTTGTTAAGCATACAAAATGTTATGTTATAGAGCTTAGAGTTGGTTTGGTGTTTAGACAATGGAAAGCTAGAGAGCTTTATTTAGGACGCTGTGATTCACAGTGCTGTCACCACAATGACTGCTCTTTGATTTACTGCTGTATCTGGACCCACAGGGTTTGAACATATGCTGGAAGCTGACTAAACACATCATTCAGCAAACTATCCATCATGGATAGAGCTGGTGCTTCAGTGGCAGGCAGCACCAAACAACGTAAAAATGGTAAAAATACCAGTACAACATTGGAAAAAGTATTATTTGCAAAATACTTAATATGAAAAGTAAAAGTACTTGCTCTGTAGAAAAATATAACATGACTGATATATTGTTGTATATGACTGATGATTAATTAATGATTGAATTGATGATGAATATTGATGCATCAATGTGTAAGTGGCATTCTACTGTTTAACTGGTTGAGGTGGAGCTTATACTTTATGTACAGTGAGGTAGTTTAGTCAATTGGTTCTCATTGCTGAACTCCCGTTGGACAGGATCCAAATCAACGCAGCAGAACCAGACATATCAGCATTGATTCCTCACATGCCTTCTCCTTAACAAAACCTGTCCCCTACATTACCCACAATGCAACTCAACTGCAGAGAGTTTGCATAACACACCTGAATTCAGAGATTCAGGTGTGTCATGCTGGTAGCAGTTCATTCAAGCGATTATCCCAAGCAGAGATGATGAAAGGTCCACAGAGGTCTGGTCACCATGTATTTCCGACTTGTAGTTTTTAGCATCACTTGAGGAAATTTATCAAACTATGCACAACTCACTCTTGAGCCATAAAAGGCTTTATACAACTTTTGTCACATGCAGTAATGCTTCCCTGAAAACATCCACAACTGGTACCAAGTTAACAGCTAAAATATAAATGAAGGAAAATGTGACCATTTCATTTAAGAATAAATATTTGGTTTTCTTGAGTACTTCTTGGTCAGAGAACATCTTGCACTCTTTTGGAATTGTTTTTATAGATGCAAAGTGATGCTCGGTAACTCTTGAAATACCCTCAAGTATGGGTATAGTGTTGGTGTATGAAACCACAAAATGCAGAGATGTCGTGCAGCTTCACGTCAGCCGAGATTCATTCCATTCTTCTGCCCTCTGTGGTAGTTTGGGTTCATGAAAGTCTTAATGAAAGCCTTGAAATATCCTTCGTTCGATGCTTCCAGAGAGATTGGATCTATACAAATAGAATTGTAATTCTATGCTAAAACACGACATACCTCTAATTTGCCTGAGCTCTGATTGGAGCTTTGGTTGCTATATATATACGTTTATGATAGCTCATGGGATTTGTTCTGCTCTAAAATACAGATTACTTGAGATTCCTGCTGCAGTAGCTTTGGTTCAAAGATTGAATGAGGCCTTTTTTGCAGCCTTTTGAGGTTAGTTGGGTTAGTTGATTTCATTCCTTTATTGTGTAGGTTACAGTAAGTTCAGTCCTAGATAGCAGAGGGAGGGCGTTTTTGACTCCTGCGGCTGACATCAAGGGGTGCTGGGACATTTTCAACTCCCTGGCCTATCTGTTGTGGTCAAGGGTGTGTTCATCTGTGGTGAACATTGGCGCTAAATGTACTTATGCGTCATCCCATGTTCTCAACTTTCCCAGGGTAGAGTAATGTAATGTGATATAATATGCTCTGTAATCAGTGATGTCAAACATCACATGAGGCACAGTCTCCCAGAAGAAGATCAGGAACTATTGAGGACCTTGTAAAGAACTCACGGGGCGTCCTGTTGTCAGAGCTTTACTTATGTTTGTTTTACACGGGACAGATAATGAAGCCATTTTTGTGCTGCTATAATGATCACCTGCAGATTGCTTAATAGCTCTGTTTAAATATAAGCAACAGGATGCTTAAAATTAAGATGTACAAGAGCAGAAATCTAAATTAGGCTCGTTTGTTAGTAGGATTCATTGACTTATGCGTTTTCACTGAGTGGTATGAAATTACTTCTTAATGAAAGTTGATATGATCTTTTTTTGTTTTATGTCATGTTGTGCAACTAAACTGTACATCATATGGATAATGGGGTTTATTTGTATGAATGGGTGTGGAACAACGAAGCAAAACACTGCCAGGTTGCCGTTTCCTCACCAACGTCCAAATTGTCCAGAGATGAAAGGTGCTAGACCTGGAAATGAGACACAAGCTTCCAGATTAAAGAAAACCCAGGTGGACAACCACAACTACACCCCTTGGGCCGAGCATTTACTCTCCACCTGAAATTCACTCATTAGAAAAGAGCAGCGTCAACACATAGGGCTGCCAAAAAAGCCTCAAACTTTCCAAAAATGAACTCTCAAAATTGAGTCATTAAGTAGCTCGCAGTACAGATGATTAAGCTAATGCTACTAAAGTTGTTTGAGAATATATCTATTTATGGTTGACTTCAGGCTGGAGAAAGAAGTGTTTCCACATGTGTGTACACGCGATATTTATGTGAGATTTCTGGCAAGTTACTTGCAAAAATAGAAGCTTTTGGAATCACCAAACGGACCTAAGAATATCGCATCACGAGTAAAGGCATCAACCAATCACGTTGTGTGGAACGGGCTGAGTTGCGCCTGTATGTACAACATAGCGGAGGCTTGGTAGTCCAAACCAAGACGGCCATCTTTAATACTCCTTTCAACCTTGACAAAGGAAGAGCATACCAGATCCACTCCTGCCGTTCTTACCTTTCACAATAAAAGCCCTAGGCATAAAATATTGGCAGGCGAGTATTTAGCATTTCCGTGATGTTTTTTTTGTCACTCCCCGAGGTGATTAAGGCTGTGTTAAAAATATGAATACTTTTCTGACCACCCCTTTCCCCTGACAATTTTGGTCCCTAATCACTTTAACCATATTTGTAATAATATAATTTACCTTTTAGGGAAACTAATTATCTGGAAATTATATTTTTGGCAATTAGGATAATTATTCTAAAAGTGGCAGTTATTTACAAATACAAATATATCATATCTTCCTCAAAAAGCTCAGTCAAGAGAGCAGTTTTGAGCACTGAAGGAGACAGTGAACAATATCAGCCCTGCAGACATGGTGACATGTCTCTCTATACCATATGATGTATATAACCCAGGCCTCCGTGCAGCAGGGCAGAGTGGGTGTCTCTGTGGTTACCGTCTCTGCCCTCTGTGTCTCCAGTGGGCCACCTCTCCCAGTGGCATTCTGCCAAACCCCAAGGTAGCAAGCCATGAAAATGAGAGCGTTGCCTTAGGAGTTAAAAAAAGATATGTTTTGATCATCCTCTTCAGCTATTTATTCCCATACTTCTTCTGCTATCTATAGAATTAGTCTTGTGGGGGAAAGTTGAAATTAAAGTTCAATCATTTAGGTTTTCTGCTACCTTACCATTATTGCTACCAAAAGGGTTGCACATTAAGATTCTCCTTGTGTCTCTGCAACCACTAAGAGACTGAAAAATGCGTCATAAGGGACATGATACCGTAATTTGTGGCTTTGACCATAAATGTGAACACAGAGAAGCATTGTGTATTCTTTTTTCCCATGGGCTTTATTTAGTTCGATATCTGATGCAATTTCCATAATCCTGAGGCAGTATTTGCTTCATCGTCTTTTTTAGACTTGGTGCCAACATGTGGAATATATATCTTCATGTATTTTTATGATGTTAAACAAATGATGAACTTAAAGGTATTGAATATCAAACCAGCACGTTTTAACCGTTGTATGTTGTTGACATTCCCTTTTAGGGTCCCACAGACCTGTCTTCTATTGCAAAATCAAACATTGGTTCTTTTGAATATCTTTTACTTTTTTCTTATCTTATTAAAACCTAATGTGTAGAAAACTATAGAAGTAAGACTTTCCCCGCTTTGCCACAAACTCATCCCGCACATTTGATGAAGGTGATAGAATACGCAAATATAAAACACAATTATTACACCAAATATGGAAATATATATTCTTTTATATGTAATGTGGGATTAGATGCACAAATATTTATGATTTTTGTTCGCCAAAGAGAAGTTTATTGACAAATAAATGTACAGTGTGTCATTCTTCACAGTGATGTCATTTAAGGACAATAAGACCCTAAAGAGTTCTAAGTCCCATTTAGGCCTCAAACTATTAAACTATTCAAACAAATTCCAATATAGAAGTCAAAGTGGACTTATTTGGGATTTAGGAGGCTAAAGTTGCATTAAAAATACTGTCAGCACCATGCAGTCGCAGATATAGAGATACGTATTTAACAAAGTTGTACAGCTGGAACAGAAGTAATGCATCAGTTAAAAATCATGTTCATAAGTAATTTTCATAAAATTAGGAATAGCCATGAACTACAAAACCAATAAAACAATGTTAAATATGATTTTCTTTCACGTTTTTGGGGTCTCCAGGACCCCACACAGAGCATAAGGATGAACCGTGTTCTACAGGCAAAAAGGTCCTATGCATCTCACCATTACTTTCCTAGTCCATATAAAACAAAACTATGTTAGCATGTAAACAATTATATCCTACAGTCCAGACAGTCGACATTTTGTCTTAAATTTAGAAAAGCACAAGAAGGAAATGTTCTTGTTTTCCCTCTGTGGCGGCATGGATATTTATAATAGACCAATGTCTGGATAACCCACCATACCTTATTTCATAACTGTTCTTTAGTGCATCCAATCCACTTTCTCTCATGTGTAACCCCAGAGCAACCTGCAGTGACCTAGAGCACCCTGCAGGGCCCCAGAGCCCCCACCTATTCATGTACTGAACTCCAGATTGCAAGAGTTTTACATTCACATGAACATGAGCTACAGATATGAACTTCTTATATGAGAGAGGGATCTAAGTGCATCAAGTAAGAAAAGTAAATATTACATATCATTTAAATGCAGCAAATTGGTTTCTTGATTTAGGTAGAATAAGGTGTGTTTGTACTTATGCCTGTATATTTTTACCCTTTGATTGCTTATGGTTGTTGGTCAACATCAAAGATGAGAAAAACATGTTTGAGGCACAGCATAACCGCAAATGTACCAAACAACATTAATGCTCCCTGAGGATGTCCATGAGAGGGAGGAAGAGGACATAATCCTGGCTTCGGGTCCACCCAGTGGTCACTGGTCATCAGGCACGGCCCAAAGATCAGCCAATCACAGAGCAGCAGCCCTTATAGTCAGTCCATATAAACCGTGAGGCTCCTTCACATCTCAGAGTCACAAATAAGTTGATGCTTTGCGTTTTTACATTGCAGCTGTTTATCCAGGAGTGCTTACAATGATTTAACCCTAGATCAACATTAAATGCATAGATTATCAAAATTACAAGGAGAAGATATGGAAGAGTGGACGTGGCAATTTTTCATGCAACCACATAAAGAGAAAGGCTAGGTATGTGGTTTTCTTTGGTTTTCTGGGATATGAGTCTGTTTATTTAAATGAGTCAGAGGTTAAATATATACACTCCAAATGAAAAATCCTAGTTACACTCACAAAGGGCTGCATGCTGTAACACCCACCCTACGAAAGATTAAATGTGCACAACTCTCAGTGGGAACAATGAAAAAGTCCCACAAAAACTTCATACGAATAAAAACACGGAAGAAATCTTAGCAAGGACATCACAAAGAGATAATCTCCTCCAACATGCTCACAATTCACTATTTATCTACACTGCAATTAATCACTCACCCCAGGCCCAAAAACACCCAACACTTGCAAGCAGTCCAGTCAAATGCACAACTGTTGCTGTTCCAACTCCTCAAGGCGTCTCCTTAACCTTTGTCCCAACTTGCAGGATCAGGATAAAAAAATACTCTGTTATAGCCTTAATAACTGAATTACAACAAAAATAGACAAATACATCTTTAATGTCATCTGAGCTATGTTCACCCCTGTGGTGTCGTTACAAAAGGACACGGTGGAAGAAGATGGTCAATATGCATGCGATACTGTTTTAAAAACATGGGTTCTTCAACTTTGAGAATCCATAAATCAACTGTGTATTTTACATCTGATTACTAAGTATTTTAATATCAAGTTGCACGAAACTAGAAATCCCACGCTTTCTAAAGCACATAAACACACAACTTGAAACACACAGGGTCCACATCACATTTTACAGTCACATTGACATTCACCAAATCCGGCAGATTTGAGTAACTTACGGATCTACAGTAAAGCTTGGTCTGACTGGAAGTCACAGTGAACCTCAGGGAGCAGTCTGTCAGCAGCCATCTTAGTCAAGTTGGACTGACTTTTACTGGTGGGAAGTCTGGCTTTATATAAGTCTATTCAACTTGCTTAGACACATCTGTGGATATCTCATAGAGCATCGTAGCCCCTGCCTTTATCGATTTCTCTACTGTATATCGTGGAACTCTTCAGTTGTATATAAATACTGATCATCATTCATTGTGTTTATTATTATTCCAATGTTTTTGTGAGATTTTTTTTAAAACGGAGCCAAAACGTCGAGACCATGCTGTATTTTAGTGTATTTTCATTAAATTTTCAGTCCTGGTTGTAGTAACAAATAAGATGAAGTACATTAAATCATTACCCCCGGGATCTTGGCTATAATGGTGATATTGTCTTAAAATCAAGATTAAATATAGGCGAGGATAAAAATCTCATTTGTTTCCTTTATTGCATCTCCATTTATTCTGGAGTGGTAATATAAACAGGTTGACTTACAATGGATTCATATTAATTATTATCTTACCTTTTTAAAGGAGACCATACATGTGCATATGGGTTTGATTCATTTTTGGTTGTTATTTTAGGTGTTTTTTAAGGGAAAGGGCGTAGGAGGTTAATGATATAGTATTTTCATACTGTACATGTGGACATACTGGAGTTTGTGTTATTATTTGGAGTAGCCTACATGTCTGTTACGTTGCCTAAATGATATAGGGCTGACGTTGCTAAAAATGTATTCTGATTTCATGTTCCATACACTGCAAAGACAACCTGTTTGCTTTTCATTTTTAAACCTGTAATTGTGTTTTTTGGGGGGGTCATAAATGTATATTAATGTGCAAGCTGAATAAAAAATGTCTCTCACGTGTAACCTCTCAGTTGTTGACTTTCTATTTACAGCTTTACGCAGGCAAATACACACAGTCAGTGGAAACCATGAACCATATATACAACCATGCAAGATGGGGAAATTCCTTTTGGTCATCACATTGACCACAGGTGGTTTCCATGTTAAACACCACTGTCTGATCAGTGAATATATGCCCCCGAGTGTCCTCCACTTTATAGCTATTGCTGTCTACAATGTCTCTAGGAAATAGCTCAGACATGCCGCCCTGAAAAAGTGCACTGCTTGCTCTTTTTCATCTTGAAACCAGTTATTTACACAAAGTATTAAGTCTTGGGCCCATGAATTGCATCCTTGTACAGTTTGTCTATAGATGAAACGGTGTAAAGTAGAAAAATTATCGGGTAGGATGCAGTTACTTATCTGGCTATTAATTCATGTGATCCTTAAGAGTGCAGAGATGCACATATTTGCATAAACATACAGTAATTTGCTTTATCGGTTGGTGTCTTTATGATGAGGAAAAAACAGGACAGCTTGTGTGCATCAGCTCACCAGTGAGGTTACAGGCAAACTGTGGCTCTGCAAGCTCTCTCTGACAAACCTTACACTTCTGCCCCTTATCCAGTCTGAACTTTGTTTTTGAGGCCTGCATCTGCAGAGGAGAGAGGGCAAAAACAGCGAGGTGAAGAATACGAAGGAAACAAGAACACACACAATGTTCATGGAATGAAAAAACAAATGACATATGTCATTAAACTCACCCAAATGACCTTGTGCCGCGTGAGCTCTGCCTGTAACAGAGCCTTTTGCAGCTCTGCCATCCGCCTCTGGTGGAATGTTTCTCTAAGGGATCCAACTAAGAACTGGGAGACCAGTTGAACAGACCAGGAATCAGGCAGGAGCTGGATGACCTTCTCTGCTGCAAGGACCCGAGGGTTGTTGTTGAGCAGATCCACGGCAGCGCTGCTGTGATCCTCGGAGCTCAGGTAGATTTGGAGCAGGGTGAGCAGCAGCGTCTGCCTGAACTGTGTGTCCCGGCCCTGGGCAGCCCTGCCGCAGTAGGCCTCTGCAGCTTGGAGGTTTCCCTCCTGGTGAACAAGCACCTGCAGTGCCTCAAAGTGTCCACCGGTCCTACCGAGGAGAATGGCTTTCTCTATGTTCAGGGTTGCTGACTCAACTCTCTCTGCAATGAGAATAATGCAATAAGATTTAGTCACAATACAGTAATGATTTTTTTTATCAAAGTGCACCCACACACCATATACAGTGGAGACGTCATAAAATCTGGATTCCCATAGCAGCTGCTGCAACTTCCCTCTGGTCTTCCTCAAATCTGATTCCTCTTCCTCTCGCAGCGACTGAGTAACATATGCCAGGGCCAGACGGTTGTGATGTTTCTCCTCCTGGGGGCAGATTACACCAATCATATCTCAGTGCATTCAATAAAGGACTCGGGGTATTAGATTAGGTAGCTGCTGCTGTGCCTACCTCACTGTTCAAGTCATGGATTAAGAACTCAAGATACAAAAGCAACGCCAGTGGGTACTTCTCCACGAGAGCAAGGACATCTTGTGTCTCAAACCGATCATCTGGTTGACGCTTGTTGAAAATCTGCACCCCTATCTTTTTTAAATAAAGAAAAACATGTTACTGGACATTTCATTACCAATCATTTTCTTACAAGCAAAGCAATGTAGGTGTCGTTTTGCTGCGTGTTTATATCCACAACACATAGTTTGATTGCTCAACTCTTCCCTCTGCAGTTGAGAGCATGAAGAAGGGAAAAAGGCACCTCCTGGTTTCTTTGAAGAGTCCAGTCTGCAAATTTCCACACGGCATCTCTGTCTTGCAGTTGACTGAGGGTCCACACTATATGTCCATATACATCTGAGCAAGACGGGTCTTTGTGGAGGCCATCTGCAATTTTCACCCAAGTCTGGAATAATATAAAAGGCTAAAAATGACATTTTTATACATCACGTTTCTATATAAATACAATGAGTTTGTTGGGAATTGATACCTTAATTGCATCAATGTGATTTCCATGGCTTTGATAGAGGGAACCTAATGCAAAATATCTGTAGATAAAGAGAGATCACAAAGGAAATGGTCCATCAGAAATTGAGCAAATTAGACAAAATATCTCAGATATTGAATTGGTGCCTTTCCTTTTAAGAATACTTTGGCATTTAAAGAAACCACATTTGTGACTTCACATCACCTACTTAACAAATAATCATTTGTTTAAACCTGCTGTGTTGCTCCAAAACAGGAACACAGTGATCCAGCCTGCACACATTGGGAAATGCCACAAGCTGCTGCAGATTTTCAGCGTCTCCCAGTTCTACATACAGCCTCAGGAGGGTGCAGTCCACCTCCTTACTGCACTTCAAGCCTTGCTCCGTCCCCCTGACTGCTCTGAGGAAATCTCCCAGGAACGCCAGGTAATGATGAAATGTGTTCCTGTCATCTTGGCAAAGCGCCTGGAGATCCCTGCCCTTGTTCAGTTGATCAAGCTGGGATTGAAATTCGTTGCTGAGACACGACTGGAAGTCAGGGTAGAGGCGGATGATTTCTCTGGGGTCCAGCTCACCTGCACTGTTTAAGTGGGTAATGAGCATTGATTTGTGTTAGAATTAAGTGTAGAATTCAGCAAAAAATACCCACTATTCCCAAAATTCCCCTATTAGTGTACAGCGTGCTGCGATTCAGCCTTGAATTTAGGGTGTTGTGAAAGGGGTTTTACTCTCACATGAATAGATCCCTGGCCTCAGAAAAGCCCTCCTGGTAAAAATGAACAAATCCAGCGAGGCAAGTGATGGCCTTCTGCAGCTCCTGCCAGTAAAGAAAACAGATCTTACAACCAGGCACGCAATGGGTAAACATATTCAAAGCACCAATATGCGAGCCTAATTCAGTGAGGCAGAAGACTGTGTGACTATCCTTAAATCTCAAGGGCAACATGTCACATTAGGATGTTAAAAATACACAAAACCAGACAAATTTTAAGGAGTGACTCATCTGTGTGTAAGTTCTAACACTATCACCTCTAACCTGTAACATGAGATGTGGCACAGATTACACTAAATCTCAGACACCATCTGCTGTCCTCAGTTGCATTCATCCAACTGGAATACACCTACAAGCTTGCAACAATGTAGTCCATCTACGCCTCGACAGCCTGCTTCAATCTGTTCTACAGTGATGAAATATTCAATTTAAACACTCTGATGCAATGCCAGATGGGGTTGTACTGCATGCATATTATCTACACATATGAATCTATAAAATGGTTAAATTATTGCAGCACTGAAGGTTGTCTTACGAAGGCAGACAATACAGGAAAAGGGAAGTTGAGAAAAAGGGTTTTAAGTTTAAGGTAAAGGAGAAATGCTATACATTATTCCGTGTCATTCAGCTATCCTCGGGAATTGTTTTGTAACCCTTGAGAAGAAGAATGTTAGAAATCTAGATTTCAAAGCAGGGATGTGTATGCGTCGACAAATTGAATTTCACCTTGTATGAGTCAAGTGGACGATGGCCTTGAACTCCATCCAGCAGCAATAAGGCCTCCTCAAACCTCTCATGCCTTACAAGTGCCTCGATCTGCTCTTTGAGTGGCACCAGACGCAGGCTGAAAATGTCTCTCTCTGTGAACACTAACACACCATCTGAGGGGAGATTTGTTTTGGGTTTTCAGAAACACCGTTTCAGCGAGTAGGAACAGTAGGTGTAAGAATGATTGACTGAATCGGTGCAAACTGAGACAGACACAGTGACATTTTTAAAAACAAAACCACAATTTGACAGCTGTTCGGTCTGAAATCTGGCAGGATTAGGTGACGAATTGATGTTGACTGGTTTACCTGATGTGGAGAGCAGACCCTTCGCTCCGCTGAGACTCACAGTCTGTTTGCACTGCTGATCTATCATGCTGTAGACAGACAGCACTTGGGGCTGCAGGGTTAGGATGTAAGGGAAACATACTCCGGCTGCCAGCACCTCCTGAGGCCACTGCAGGGGAGGGCGCTGGCATATCCCTGTCTTCATCACAAACATGCCTGAGGGATGAGGATGGAGTAATGATATCTTGGCAAAACAAATATCCTCTGGCAACATGGGTATATGGGGGAGTGGTATGAGATGATTAACTGTATAGCTGCTTTTGAAAGGAAGCATATTCAGTAATGTAACAGGAGGATGTCTGTGCTTGACAGTCTGTAAAACAACTTTTACCATTTAGGCAGCTCTTACCCAAAGATTCAGGCCCGTTCAGGAGAAATTCCCCTCGTCCCATTGAGGTTACAATGACACGCTGTTTGCTGTGATTGTGAGGAAAAAGCTCATCGCTGCTCCCAGTCCGAATATCACAGAGGAGATACCTGTCGCTGGTACCTATACACACACAGGCACCATCCACTGCCAAGGCCACAGGGTCCTGGAGCAGAGGGATTTCTCTTACAACGTCCCACCTGTCCACTCCCACCACGTGGATCCGGATCACCTTCCTGCGGCTGGAGGAAGTCACCATCTCCACACTTTCTGCCTGGGCTGCGAGCAATGAGTCGCACACCTCGAACAAATACACATGCTGGATCTTCTTGAGGGCGGGAACAGGCTCTAAGGAGAACATGTTGAGGGCAGTAACGCTCCGGTCCCACAGGACCAGCAGATGGTTGAAAAGTGGGACTACCCTCAGTTGGGCAACTTGGTTGCTTGAGCCTAGTTTTCTCACCCTACACTCTCTAATTTTGCTCTGGCCTGGAATCGGGTCTCTATCTGTGCCACTGGGAAGGATGAGATGCAGGACTGTTGCCTCTTTGGTCCCTATATACACATTTCGGTCATAGCACTCAATGCACTGGATGCTGGATTTGTCCTTTTCTTTTGAGGCTGATTGCTTTTCATAGACGTGTGTGTGTGTAAATGCTCTAAAAGCCATTGCAGATATTTAAGGATGTTGGATTTTTGTAAGGTAAAAATACAAAATGTATCTGCTTAAATTAAAGCTACAGATCTTCTGTGAAATATGACAAATGAGACGTCCCTACCTCTCTGCAGTTCTACTTTCCTCTCCGATCCCTTTGTTTGTGAAGTAGTTTCACCTCCCCATGTGACTATATCCTGTCAGGAAATCTGTGTCAGCATTTTTGTACCACTCATCGTAGCATGTGAGGACACTTACACAACTCATCCAGTGGCCTCACCAGGAAAACCAACTTTTACAAGTGTCAAAAGTATGGTAAGAAGGACAGATATTTTTGAGATGCCCACAATTTACAGTCGCTTGTATTCTACTTTGGTTAGATAATGGACAAGTAGAAGAGCAAGTTATCTGCTGATCAAGGCATATATGGTCACGCTCAGTTTGTTTACTACATGAGCGAGTTGGGCGTGATGAGGTCAAGAGGCAACAGAGGTTAGTTTTACAGCAATGATTGTCTAAATGGTGATGGTCATAAAAAGATGTGGATTTCAAACCTACCATCACAGCTATATTTGTTACGCTAAAGTTTGTGGCAGCCCTAAACTGACAGCAGACGACTCACTTCTTGGAGCAGAATAAGACATATTATGATGAGCAACAGCTAGCCTAGAATGATTTCCATTTCAGCACGATATAGCAAGGTCTTTATTGGAACAACCTTCAAGTATTTCATATGAGAGAAGCATAACTCATGCATGCATTAACAGTTATTATTGTTATATTGACTAATCCAGTCATCATTTTGTCCATAATGTCAGAAAACAGTGAAAAATAAGTTCTTCAAAATGTTTTTTTTGTTATCTGTCTAACAGTCAAGAATCCAAAAATATTCAGTTTACTGTTATATAAGAGAAAAGACAGTATCAAATCCTAACTCAGACGTTAATCCATTAATTGATAATATTACAGTAATAAAATAAAAATATTAATAATAGCAATAATAATAAATTGCAGCATAATTTTATCCTTGTCAAAAATGAAAGTTTGTGAGGAACAAAGGCATCCTAACTTTAAAGATTCATGCTTATCTTTATGGAAACATCACAGTTTCTTGTGTTTGGGCATTGTGAAAGAGCTATTTGTCATTTACAACAACAAAATAAGCATTTGACATTCAGAGTTTGTCTATGTGCCAGGCATGTTCATTGATACACAACATCTGTATCAGAACAGGATAAACCTTTGACTCCTTCATGGAAAGGTCACTTCTCTCTGCCGCAGTCGGTGCACATGACGTTGTCGCGCTGGGTGAGGAAGCCGCGTCCAACCAGCGACACGGAGCACTGAATGCAGGTGAAACACTCGCTGTGCCACTGGCGTTCCTCAAAGGAGATGTACTTGGCCCCTGCCAGACCTGCACACAGCAACATAATGTGCAGGTTAATGCAAAATCTTCCCCTTGTTAATCTGACAGGTCCAACACAAATGCCAATAAAGACCTTAAATAAAAGGAGAACTGCATGTCACAGAGTAAATGAAAACATGAGCACAGCCAGGGACTCACTGGTGATGGGCTTAGTGCAGCCAACACACTTCTTTGCATACAGGCTGCTGAAGCATTCGAGGCAGTAGGGGTAGTTTTCCTTTGAGGTGAAGCGCTGACCCGAAAGCTGCTTTCTGCAGCTGATGCATAGGAAGCACTCACGGTGCCAGGGCTTGTCTTGGTAGGTCACTCCACCTGTTGTGATGGCCTCGAGGTAACACAAATCCAGTGAAGGTAAGTGTGAAAGAAAGAGAAACATTCCTCTTACTATGCATCCCTTTATTACGCGCCCACCGTGTGAGTAATATTAAAAGACCTGAGTCAGGGGGATTTGCTGCAAATAAAACACTAAGCTGTAACCCTACCTTCTTACAAGCACAGCACTGGTAGGCAAACTGCTTCTCGAAGCAGGGCACACAGAAGTAGCCGGCGTCTTTTGGGATGAAGGACTTGGTTCCTATTGGCTGCTGGCAGCGGTGGCACAGGAAGCAGGTCTCATGCCAGCTGTTCCCCTTGTATTCCATTTTGCGGGATCCTGGCACAACGGACGAGAGCAGCTTAGTCAGCATATGGTACCTCTATGATAGAAACACACTGCGGACTAAAATAGTCCTGCTTTATATGTAGGGCGGAGACAAGGAAGAAATTGCGCCGCTGTAGTGTTTTAAATGTTTATGTGTATTTTCCTCACTTTTGCATTTTCATGCAACCCTTTAAGCCAACATGGATGAAAAATTCCTTAATATGCCCAGAACATTTTAGATTTCAACATCTACAACTCTATGACAGCTGGGCAAACTCCATCTACTAAGGATCGAAGATCATGTGATATGATCGAAAGCTCGAGAAGAGCTACTAAATGCACTTTGCGACGAGATTGTTTTGTCAACTGTTTCAAAGAATAGATTTTCATTCTCAACTTTTGGAATTGTTTTCTTTTTTGTTAAACTTACTACTGTTATCATCACCGTTGCATGACAAAAAGATGAATTAATTTGATTACTGATATGGATGATTTACCAACCCAAATCCACTTAAATTACATCCCAAATTTAAATAAATTTCCCAATTTTCATAAATAATTTGAGAATAGCAACAATAATCAATTATGTCTGATCAGAGGTTTAACCAACCAATCAGCTCACAGTCTAGTCCAAAAGTCCTCAATCATTAACTAGTCCTACTATAATTAAATAAATAGTTTGCTATTTATGGAAATATGAAAATGAATTAGGGTGCTTTAGAGGTGCTGGTAAGCGGATTTTGTTACCATTGAACAGACCCAAGCTAGCTGTTTCCCATTGTTTCCAGTCTTTGTGTTAAGCTAAGCTAACTGCTGCTGACTGTTGCTTCATCTTTACCGTACAAATATAAGAGTTTTACTTATTTAATTAGGACAAACGGTAATAAGAAAATGAAGTTCAGGGACTTCTGGTGGAATTCAAGAACAGCAACTAAGGAGTTACCTTGCACAGCAGCTGGATTCTTGCGATAACATAAGATCACAAAATCACAAGATCACAAGAGCATAAGATCATACAAGCTTCCAGCTAAAATCAATCTTGTCAAGCTTCAATTAATGTCTGGCCATCCAATGACCGGACCAATAAGCATCCCCTGAGGAGCTACTGGCGGCTACAGGCGTAGCTTATGTGTGTGTTACACGACGGCACGGAGAGGCGGCGATGGCAGCTCCGACAATTTAGCGTAGCTGCAAAAGCATCAGTTATATCAGAACTGGAGAGTATTTATTCAATGCAGAAGGAAAGCGGAACAGCACCAAACGCTTTTCTTGATGGAAAGGATGTTTTTGCAAGTTTCATTGACAGATGGCTCATCCAATCACCTGCCATGTATTTTTGAAAGTACCCGACCTTTTCCAAATCATTTTCAATGACGGCCTCTCAGATGGTTCTGCGTAAACAAACCATCCGGCGCGTCAGGACAAAATTGACCTTGTGAAGAAAAGTCAGCCACTATTTTGAAGGATCTATTTTTTCTCTCTTTATGTGATTATTACATTTAATGTGTGTAATAATGTAAATGTGGCAATGTATCGCGAAATAGATTTAAGGTGATGACGATTCATCGCCATCATCATCCCAACGCATCATACCTGGCATGACGGTTTTCTTACAGGTGGTGCACTTGGAGGAATAACCGTGGGCGTAGCATTCAGTGCAAAGTAACAAATCATCCTTGGCGGCAAAGGCCTTTTCCACCAAAGAGCGGCTGCACTTTGCACACTGGAAACACTCCTCGTGCCAGTGGCGATCCTTGTAAGACATGTCCTGTGGATATTTAACACATCATTTATTGGACGTGTGAATTTCCAGTAAAATATGACATCTCTGTGTTTTTAAGCAAAAAGGTCAAAAAGGGAACAAAATACATTAAAATGTTTCTTATTTTTAGATCATGAAATAAATACACATAACTCGCCTTCTGTTTTTAAAGGTTCTTGACATAAAAGCAATTACTTTCAGGGTAACATTGGTGCTTCCTTACCTTGCAGTTGCAGCCAATTGCTAAAGAGCAGCCCTCACAGCTGTTAGCGAACAGGTTCTCATAGCACTTAGTGCAGTACTGCTTGTCCTCTTTCATTATGTACTTCTTCCCTAGCAGGGAGTCTTTGCAGTAATGGCAGTCGAATCGCTCGCTGGTGGACATTGTTGTTTGGTTTTCTTAACTGAAGGTCAAAGAGAGCAGGAGTAGGAAAATTGGACCATAAAGAAGAATAGAAAAGAGGAAAAGAGCCCTGTAATAGTCCAAGCAATTTCTTCCCCCTCTCGTCAAGCAAATTGTCAATTAAAGAGGCCAAGCAATCTTTCCACCTTTTTTACAAAAGAATCTGAAAAAAGCAGTGTTGTATTAAGGAAGTCTCTACCTCAGTTGATATGGAGCGAGGGTGAGGCTGGAGCTGGGGTCTGCAGAAAGCGAGCGGTCCAGGCACAGGGATGAAAAGGGGTGAGGCAGGATTAGAGGTATATCCACTGGGGGGGTTCTTCTATAAATACTGGCCCTCTTATTAGCAGTAATCTCTGGGGAGAATGGACATGCTCCACTGCATCGCTCTGCACCTTTTAAGGGTGCACAGATCGCTGAGCTTTTGAACTGATATTATCGTTGTTGCTTTATTCCAGGAATGTGTAAAAGCAATGAGCAATTTTAGGACCAGAAGATAGATTATTGTTGGGAAACATGACAACCTACAATGGAACTAATGTCAGTGCCCAAATGTTTGTTTCACTTAAATACACAAAATATTTTTCTTATCGGCACACTAATATTAGTTTGGATATTGGTGCCACGGAAGAGAGAGCTGGCCATTTGTATTCTGACACGTGTCTGGACACACTTCATCAGTGCCTGCCACACACACAAGCAGTTGCGGATAGCTTTTGAGAGGTACGCGCCGGGAGCTGTGTGGTTGCCAGGTACTGCACTTTATATTGCCAGGACCTCTCAGAAGCTATTGAGAGAGCCTTGGTAGCACTTCAAGGGGGAAGCTGAGGGCCTGTGGATGTCCAGTCCATCCACAGCAAACTAAAGGAGGAGCAGCAGAAATTACAGTTTGATGGTGACCATCTTGCTTTGGAACAAGAGATAATACAAACAATAAAAAAATAACTGGCCTATAGATTGGGTCATTATAGCATAAAGGGTCATATATAGTTTTAAGTGTCAAAAATGATGCCTGAAACATTACAAATCTTCCTTTTCCACCTTAAAAAGCATCCCAGTTCTTCAGCATCTTCGACTGACAGTCGACTAATTACAAGTGAATCTTGGAACATGTGCTCATATCAGTTTTCCAAAGGGATCAGGGGGCGGACACCTTCATAAAAATAGCCTGAGGATACCACCACAGGCCTAATCCCTCGTATACACACACAGGAAGGTCAGTGACAGGGATGAGGCTGAGAGGAATGCAACTCTGTCTAGATGAACTCTGTCTTTTCTCTACATTAACTTCAGTGCAACTCCTTGTCAAGTAATTCACCTCTTGTGAATATATAAAATGTAATCCATTTTTAGATCAGTAGATGATGTTATAACAGAGGCCTGCGTTGTATGTAGGTGGTATCTACAAACCTCTGAGGAATAAGACTGTGTTATTTTTTTACCTACAAGCTGCTTGTTATGAAAGGCTTTCAGCACAAAATAACTGTATCATGTCAGGAATTCAGGTGCTGGAAATATTTCCGATTTGTAAGTCATTCCATCCTTCAGGTTTTACTTGTATGATCCGCCGGATTACAGAGAGTCATCTGCTGCTCTGGATTGAATTACCACTCTACCCTTGCTCGCTGCTGGTGTCCAGATCAGCGGCTGCAAATCTCGAAGCCATGCAGACCTTAAATAAACCCAGAACCAACTGTTGGGTAAATATAGTCATTGCCTCTCAAAAAGCTTCTCATCTTTGTTGCATTGGTGGCTGATGCACATTATGTCTGTCATCGTGTTACACCAAACCAGGGGCGGATGTGACCTATATTCACCAGCAAGCAAAAGCTATCATCTCTTCGAGTATATCTATACAATATGAAAGAAAGTCATGAAAAATATATTACATGTCAAGAGAGGGCATTATTCACTGGATATTAAAAAAGAGATTATTGTACATTGTCTTTGTCAGTGTTAATATGTATTTGTGCATGCATGTTTGGAATGTTATTGTAACTGCACGGATTTGCATGTGATAGATAACAGGTGCTGGTCTTTGTCTCCCTCGGATTATTAACTTCCACACCACTCAGTGCCAACTCTGTGGAGCAAAAAGCTTGCTGATCTAGCATATTCCTTTTTGCCTGCTTAATCCTCTGAAGTCAACTAGTGAGCAGCTGCCAACAGATTTCGTATGGGGCCTGTCGAGCCCCAATAAATAGGCCTTTATTTGACCTGGACTCCGGTGTCCTCCGGTGTCCTCCTATCTTAACGTATTCAGTCTGTACAATAAGGTGCCAGTGGCTGTTTTCCCCCCCTCTTAATCAAAAGATCTCAGAGAAGAAGAGAAGCATTTCACTTTGGTGGCTCCTTTGAGGTGGTGACTTGTTGTAGACTGAGGCAGATCAACACGACACAGTTGCATCTCTCTGAAGCACAAAAGCCTCGCCGCACCAGAGTTGACAGCTGGTTGGCATGGTGATGACAGCATAAGTGGGATCCATTAGGTTGAGATGAGGGGCGGCTCTTGTAGTTAATGAGAGGACTCACACAAACCTGGCCTTTTGAGCGGGCCTCTGCACTCTACTGCGACGTGGAGAGCTCGCTTTCAACGCAGCTTTTTCATCGGAACAGGATAGCCACGTAGGGGGTTGCCAGGGGGCGAGGAGATACAATCTACTAAGGCTACAATCTCACAAAACCTTACACCCCTTTAGGGAGGCCCTGTGAGCCTCCACCGACTCCTGCCCCCCACCCCTCCCCGGTTCTCACCAAAATGAGTCATGGTATGAGTGGGTGACAAGACTTGTCACATACCCAGACATATGATCTCCGCTGCTAAAAAGGAAGAAAAAGTTGTCTACTCCTAGGAAGGCACAACCCATTAAAATGCTCTCCAGTTCGATCCATCGCCTCCTCCCAGCCCACGGATTTTGTGGTATTTGGATTAGCTGTGTGTAGACGAAGCTGCTGATTACCTTTGGGCGCCAGCAGCAGCAAGTCAGAGCACAAAAGATACCTAAAAAGTCACCTATATAAGAAATTCATACCTAGAATGTTGATTACTTTTTCACAGCCTGCAAAACAGATAGCAGAAATCTAAAAACTAACATATCTGCTACAAGACAAATCTAAATCTTCAGAGACCAAAAATACTTCCTTTATTCTATACCTTTCAAGGACACTTTCCCAGAAATAACATAATCCTCAGTGCCTAAAACTGAAACACTTCAATAGTGCAGCATAAATAAACAAGTTCACTGTAAATGTTCCTGATTCTTAGATAGATCCAAAATGCCCAGCAGTCATTGGCATGGAAGTAATGTAACCTGGGCCTCATTTACTGATCTGCTTCAATTCAAAACATTTAAATGACAAAGAAAATGGTTAATTTGTTCTGGCATTATTACAGCACTGATGTGACTTTTTTGGGAGGGAGACTATGCTGTGTCTGAAAGCTGCAATAGCTGACATGTTGGTCACTTGGGTGCAGCACAAATTGTGAACACAGCACTGACACACACTATTTTCATCTTTTAAGCTGATGGCGAATACGTTAGCAAACATTTGCCTATTTACACACCCAGTAGACGTGGAGCAACATTTGCATTCATAGAGTGCTGCAGGGATGAAGTATTTTTCACACGCCAACCTTGGAAGTTCGCATTACACTGGTTCCATCGACTAAAATCGAATACGATTCTTAAGCTTCTGTTAACCACAGACCTTCGAAATCCATTGACTTCAAGAAGTGGGAATCGGAAGTGAAAAAACTCTTGCTCATTTCCGGCTTTTAGGACTCCTGCAGCACTCTATTTGGAGTCATGTTTTGACCACCTGATGAATGTTATTTCCAATATTCATTCTCTCTTAGCTCTGTTTTGGTCTCCACACACTCCTGAGGGCAATATCTGGCTCCTTAGCCGTTTCAGCTAGTTGCTAACTTTGTCTGTCTGAAGTTTGGTTTTGCTGTTTTTGGTTCCCTCATTTTCTCCCTAAGGCCCCGCCACATGACAACGAAACAGGGGAAGTACACAGGTTAAATACACAAGGGGAGCAGGGTGATTAAACACAGGTGGAACAAATCAGGGTAGGGTAGACAATCGCAAAGGGAAATAAACAAAGTCCCGAAGTGAAATCAGACGTGAAACATAAGGTGTGTGTATCGAAATAAAACAGAAAACATTAAATGAAAGAATAAAACACGGAACATGACAGAAAACCCAAAACCTAGGAAAGAAAATCCTCCAGACAAATCAAAACTGATACAGGTCACTAAAAAGGAATCGCAAGATAGCCTTTGAGGTTTAACAAAAAGTCTGAGGACCTCTGGGCGCAGAGCCAAACCATGACAACCTGATTGGCAGTCAGAATCAATTTTTCCAACAGCGGAATTCAAGTTCCACAGAATTCCGACAGAATCACGACCGTTTCAGACCAAGGTGTTTCAGTTTAACGAGTTTCTGTGTTAACTGGTGACTTTCAGTCGATTGCGTCTGTGGTTGCTAGTTGATTACTTAGATGGTTGGCACAGATGGGTATGTATTTAAAATTGATTGAAGGCTTCTATGAGGACACCCACATATTCTGTTGTTTTCAAAAGTTAAACCAAAACACCAATGCCTGCAAGCTGTTGACGTGTTGACTACTACTGGACTGATCAAAAATGTCATGGTATTGTACATTCTGTACACGATCAGGCAACGTAGTTGTACCCTAAGCATCTAGTGACTTGTATATTCGTCATTTCTCGCATGGTATAACGTTACATGTTAGGTTTTTTAACCAAATATATATGACCACTAAATAACAAGACACTTGCTATAGTATTCTACCCACTCACTAACAGCACACAGATCTGGAGGTCTGTCAACATTTGTCAAAGTCAGTATAGGTTGCGTTGGCAATCTTTGGTGATTAATGCCCCTGTATAACTTGACAAGCTATCTATAGCCTTGTTGAGCTAAGGGGAGCTGCAGTGTCCGTTTATTATTTTCTGTGGGTTTGTCCCTACAAGACACCCCTTTGACATTACAAGTTCCGAAAACATGGATGTACAATATGTACAATGCCACTTGAACTTTCACATTAATTCCAAACTGACATCGATGGATTATTTGCACCGCTGATCCCGCCAACAGACACATTTGTCACACCCATCGCAGCATTGAGCAGAGGCAGTTAACAAAGATGCGTCATCTTCGTGCGGTGGAGGAGACGACTGCAAATACCAGAGTGCTAGCGAGGATATGGGGTAACTAACAACAACCAGAGGATTGAGGCGTAACCAACACAACACACTCTCCTCTCTCCCATAAATCACTTATCAAGGCTTTTGGATAGCTATTTATACCTCTGCCTGCATTACATGGCACTGGAGAACGGTGTGGGCAACATCTGTGGAAATGATATTTGATATGCTAGATGCAAGAATACTATATTAGGTTAGATGGCATCATATCAAATGTTTAAGAGCAACTCACTTAGTGTAACCACAAGAACTCAAACCTTCACATATCGATGTAAAAAGACAGAAATTCTCATTCGTTTTGAATTTGATGAGAAGATCAATACCATTGTCAAGCAAACTTGATGAGAGTGGTGTCAAGCTTCTCATCTAACTCTTGACTAGAAGGCAAATGTATTTCCCAAAATGTCAGACTATTCCTTTAAGGGTAGCAAGCAACAACTTATTCCGTTGTTGATAAAATGGTTTCAGTATAAGATTTCAAAGGTTTACCATCGTTTCTTCATCAGCTGTCTCTTGACAAAAAAGAATCTGTATGCCCCACTCATCTTTGCTCATTTGTCCATATCTTTATTTTCTTTGACATTATCAGACATCTACAGTTAAAACACAACATTTGGCAAAACACAACGATTTGGCAAAAGACTTGTACTGATTGATTCACTGGTTAGTTCAGTGAACTGGCAGAAAATGAGCATTTCTGTAGAACTCGTCATGTTCAACCACACAAAGATTTCATCCCACTGGGTATACAGTGTTTTCAAGGACTCCGGCAAAATCAGTGCCAGGCCGGACAGTATCCAGAGACATCCTGATTCATGGTGCTGTGACACACTCACAGACTCAGACGGAACAGAGAAGCCACAGCTCCTCGTGTTTGTTTTTGTGCAAAAAAGAGAGAAAGGGAGAGAGGAGGAAAGAGACAGACAACACAAGAAAACAAAATAAAGTTTTGTTAATTTAAATCACCAACCACATTGGACAAGAAACCTTTGTTTTCATACATGAGATTGGACTGTACAATATGAAACCATAATTCGCAGTTTCATTGTTGATCTGTGAGACAGCCGAGGTCGTAGATGACAGTTTCTGAACTCACAACAGCTCCATCTAAAGACAGCCACCAGCACAGTGAGTCACACAACTCCACATGAATAAAAGTGCTGTATCTCTGCTGCGTTTTCACTTTTTTTCAATTAGGTCATGCCAAGAGCAGTACTGCCTAATCACAAGAAGAAAAAAAAGATGGTGTAAAATTGCCTCCCTTGATGAAAATGTCCACTGAAACCATTGTCTCTGACACTGGTAATCCTGTTTAACTCTCCTTTCACCTTGATTCACAGCCTTTCGAAGCACCAACATTTCCTACAAAGGTGCAGCACAATCACATTCACTGCCTGATAACACTTGCATCTTATAAAGAGATCTTTATAACATTGAAAATATGTACAACACGTTGTTTCTTTTCCCCGTAAATGCAAAAAAAAATGTTTGAGCTCCCTCAGTCCTTTGCACATACAGGGATGATCTGTGCCAGTGGGCTGGTTTGATCCAGATGATGATTCAGTTCACGACAAGGTTTATATACAGGTTTTACTACGGCGTTTCAGAACCATATCCCATAAGAAAAATAATTAAATTCATCCTAATTTACATCAATGGTCCCTTTGACAGTGAAGAAATATCAAAATGATATATAATGAGTACTTTGACCAAAAAGACGCTGGCTTATCTTGCATAAAATGTTGACTTGGTTTTGCGCAATTCTTTCTGTAAAAACAAAACCATGACGTCAAATAGCTGCTGAGTGCTGTTGAGATGCATTTTTCAGTGGATTAGATGTTCTGACAATATTTAAATGTGATGCGGTATCTACAGATGTTGATGCATTTTGTAGTGTGAGCTTGAGTGGTGTAGGTTGGCTGGCAAGCCACACAACTGTAAACAGGAGTGTAAACAACAACAAAAGAAATCCAGAAAAAGAAATATCTTTCACATGCAACCTCTAACTGCCCACACACCGCAACACTGCGCTGTGATGATTCAAAGATAGTAATATGGATAATCTGGCAGTAATCTTGACCATTTCACATCTTTCACTTTTTTCTTAGCGGGTACCAAAAATGTGGGCAGAGCTCACCTGATCATATTTCATCCTGATTCACACCGACTTCACACATATGGTAACATCTGCTTGAAATAGTTGAAAAGATCGGTGTAAATATTTAATGTCAAGTTGTAGGATGGCAGTACAGTATGCACAGCAAAATAGCTTCAGTAATATGTTATTTTGTGCTCTTTCCCTTCACTGTATTCAATTAAACATTTCAGATCAAATCAGAATCCAACATAATGAGGTGTCTGTGAGCTTCACACTGCAGTACAGTGGCTCTGTACTGTACTATTATCACCCATGCGGAATCCAACTGCACTTTGACACATCACATGTGACAATGAACAATTCACAACATGATTAAAATAGTAACCTCCCTCTCACCGAGCAGACACGTCTGCTGTCGGAGACTAGCGGGGTAATGATCACCATTATGCCATCTACAACCACGTAACACAATGTCCGTCTGCCTTACTGTACATATGTTAAGATAGGTAGCAGTTAGATTAGCAGTGCAAATGCAAACTCACAAAAATATGGAGAAAAAAATTGACAGCTACATCCTTCCAAAAATACACAATATGTACATGACACAATTAACTACTTTCACATTTGAGTTCAGTAAACACTGCATAGTTGACTGCATCACTAGCACAGATGAGATTGTTTTTTTTTTTATCATATAATGCCTTACTTGAATAAATATTACATAAATATTTGCACTTTTTTTATGTCAATCTCCATCTGCAGCCAACACTATTCTAACATCTGCTTCATGAAAAGGGGGTATTTAAAGAAAAAAACAACAACAACCTTGCATCATGAATGTTATCTGTTATACAGGAACATCCATACAATCAAGCATTCATACTAAAAATAGAACAAAAAATATTTCAAAAAAGCATGTTTTGCTTAATGTTGTCATGTTAAGCAAAACATGGATTGAAATAACAATAACAAATGTAGTGCATTTTCAATTTATTAAAATTATTAATAAATGATTAACACAAAAGGCAAAGTAAGGCTTGGCAAAATTGACTTGCAAATAATAAAAATAATTAAATAAACAAGATGGATGTCTCACTGGGCCACTGAATCAACAAAAAAACATAATTCGGGAGCTCTGGACACACAATAATGAACCTTCATGTTAACCGAAGAACTAAAATTACTTAAAGCACAGCCACAACAAAACAAGCACTGCATAGCCCTTCAAAGTACTATCCGCCCCAGTACCACTTGTCAAGGTTATTGAATGCCTTGTACTCCTTGTGCCTCCGCAGGTAATCACAAGCCAGGCATGTGTGCTCTGCCCAGAAATAAGCCTTCTTTACTTTAAAGTGCCGCCTCCACTCAAAGTACCTGAGGTACATCTCCTCGTTCTTGTCCAAGAGCAGCAGGTAATCGGCCAGCTCCTTGGGCGAGGTGAAGTCGTCCACGTGGATGAAGGCGTCTCCCTGGATAAAGTTCTCGTAGTTCTCCCTGGGCGGGCCAAGAACCACTGGCACTGACCCCACAGACAGCGGGTTGTACAGTTTTTCAGTGATGTAGTCCTTGTGGATGGAGTTCTCAAAAGCCAGGTAGAACTTGCAGCTGGCGATGGTGGGGAAGTAGTCTTGGTCAGCGATGTACTCCCCGAAGGCTTGTCCGTACGCATGAACCTCAATGTATTTGTACAACTCATTGTAGTATTTCACCCGCACGTGGTCCTGGTTCCAGTTGCTCACAATCCAGCAGATCAGCTTGTTTTTGCTGGGTGGGACAAAGTCCTCGTCGCCCTCCGCCGCTACAATGGACCCATAAGGCACTTCAATGTCAGCATCCTGGCGGTAATTGAGAGTCAGATTGAACAGATTCTCGATCCCAGGCAGCTGGGAGGAGTGCGACGGCGACTCCAAGTTCATCCATATCCACTTCTGGAAGGATGGTCGCTGGACCGGTGGCAGGTTGGACAGGTCGGTGCAGATGTCTCGGTGATGGATGACGACCCCATCCGACTTGTTGTAGAGGTTCCTGTCCGCTGTGAGAAAGCAGCCTTCGATGTTGAAAAGAGAGCTGCACACGGCCAGGTCGTAGGTTTGTCCGAAGGGCCAGAGCCAGATCAAAAGGGTGGTCACGTTTTTATCGCTCTTGTTGGAGAAGAGGTTCTTGACCCGATCTGTGGATACCGTGGACTCTACAGGACCTGATAACCAGCTGGTGGATGGTTTAAAATACATCAAAAACAGAGTCACAAAGCATCCCAGTATGAAAGTGCCGAGCAGAAGGGGTCGTAGGATTCTGTGAAAAGGTGCAGATGGCATACTCTGTCCTGGAACCAAAGAAGAAAAAGCTAGATTAAAGTCTTGATCAACAGGATTCAACATCCAGACTAATCACCTGATCATGCACAGGTACAGCATATACCACCATGGGTTGATGATATCTATTAAAGTGAATCAGTAACTCTAAACATTGTTTATGCCTCGATGAAATACAGTTGGCTTGTGAGCATCTACATGTGAACAAAGTGTTTCTATTCTTGCTATAATCTTTGAGCATGCACCCTGCGGTGCGTTAGGCACACACTGCTTTGGATCAATATTCATAAAGAAGAATGTGTTGCCTCCTCAGGCTCATTATAATACAAACCTGGTGGATTTGACTGAATGCTGAAATCCAAGCAAGTGTAGAGGTTGTGGGAATCTTAGGGAGCAGTTCCTACATTGGGTCGACGGTGGGATCAATCTTCTTTGTGATTCAGTGCACATAGACCAAAAAAAAAAAAGGTCACAGCTAAGAGATGCCCCTTTGCTCTTACGCAGATTAACAATGATCCTTAATGATCTAATGAGGTGCGTTTGATCTTGAATGCACAGGTCTTCTTAATGACGCCTCCTTTACGTGAGCAGAGAGAGAATCAGAGAGAATAAATTAGGGCTAGAGAGACTGAACCATCACCACAGAAAAATCACTTATGTGAGGTCATACGCAATCAACATGCAGAGAAGAGCTTCATCTCCACAAACAAATCTCTTGGATTAGCTGGAAAATTAAATGAAAACACCAAAGTTATTGCAAAATTACCCGTTAAATCATGGATGTTATTTCAAATTTGTTAGTTAAGCATGGATGTAAGCTTCCAGCTGGTATTAGTTTTTTTAGCATATTCTATGTATGGTAAGAGAATGCTGCCATCTTAAGGCTGAGGAGAGTAGAAAGGCCCCCCCCCCCCTGACTCTCCAGCTCTCTGGGGCTCAACACACCTGCACGTTAGCAGGCAGAAACAGACCTTGTTCCACCCATCACTGAAGCATATTGAAATCAATAAAACTTGCTCCAACACTAATGTTCCTCACATCATTCGTCCAATATGACATATGGGGAATGAGATTGCCTCTATGTATGACAGCCCCCCTTCATCTCTCCCATCTGTGACTTAGATACACAGATCTGCCCCCAAAGGCCACATGAACCAGAGCCAGATGAGTGTATTCCTTTTAAAGGCTTGCGGTATCAATACTTTTGTCATGTAGGCAAATCCTCTTACACAGCTAGTAACATGCTTTCTGTGAGCAGCAGTGATAAGCTCTTTGCTTTACAGAGGATGCAGCCCATGCATACCTTCATGCAGTGTGTGGTGCTGTCAAATATATTAAGCGCAGTACGGCTTCGGAAAAGGCTGAAGTGTACAGTAGTACAAAGATCAAAATCAGGCCTGTCAAATATGCAGTGTGTGGTAAAGTTATAGTGTATCCATGGTGTTGGATGGTGCTGAGGTCATAGTATATGAGAGGGTAACATGGCTCACACAGTCGTTATGTTCCTCTCTTCTTTCCATCTCTGCACCAACAACTGAGTCCTGAGTGAGACGTGTGCAGCTTCAAGCATCCATTCAGACTTTAAATAACATAACTGGGGTTTTGTCAAATGCATTGTGATGTATTTGGGACAGAGCGCCGCATGGGTGAGTAGTCTGCAGCGAGGCTACGTTAGAATGACTGGAGAGAGGCAGGAAAAAAACACAGCCACAGATTTAGCATCGTCAGTCACAGAGATGCATCAAATCCCTGGTGTGGGTTTTAATAACAGGTAGGGTAACGGGCAAAGGGGGAGCACTCATGTCCTGCAAAATTACATCTCCCCCGGTGTTTTACACTTTGATGTATGTGTATTCTGTCATGAAAGCCACAGCATTGATTATAAAAGGACACTCCATCCCAGGTGAGAATTAATTTCCAGCCACCGAGCACTGAAGGTCATTTTAAAACGTGATGCTATAGTCGAGCCGCTGTTTAAAATGGTTGTCTTTAGGCTTGACTCGATCTGCATCGATGCTGTTGAGAATATTGAGAGATTCACGAGAATATTTCATGTGTTGCCTAACACGGCACTCATTTGCGCACCAGAAACGCGCAGAACATAAATAATAGCGTGGAGGATGCTGCTGAAAAATGTAGCCTACAGTATATAGTTGCTATATGAAAACACAGCTAGGAGTGAAATGTAAGATTTTAGAATCACATGCACTGGAGAAAAACCTTCACGCTCACATAAAGTATAAACTATCCAATGCATTGAAAATGTATTTTTAAGAAATCATATGTAAAAATAAACACCCTTAGGAAAATGGGAAAGCGCCGGTCAGTGCATTTATGGTGAGAGACCATTTCTAATTAGCTGGCGAGGATTTGCCGTCAAAAACCAGGTACCACTGCTCAGCCATGGGTTGCAGGGGGG